TTTAAAAGCCTGATTGCGATCATAAAAATCGTAGAAGAATCCTTCCAAGTTTGTCAAAATTGTTATGAAAGACGTACTAAGCCGAAGCAGAAATCTCAATACAGACTCTTTTTTTGTAATGAGTAAACAGACTGACATGCTGGTCCAATTTGGATTCTCTATCGCTCTAACAGTTTTCTTAGAGTCTTTCAAGTTTTAAAAATTTAAACACAAATTTGGTAAACATAATTTTCATAGACTTGCACGGCTTCGCTATACAAAAGTCATAATATATTTACATTTCTGACAAATAATTTTCTTTTTATTATTTTTTTATATATATTTACATAATCTTATTGAATTTCCTTTCATTTCATATCATAGGAAATGACATTTCGAAACATGAAACAAAAAAATTTATATTAAAACAAGATATTATGAGAGTGAACAACAAACAAATGTTAAATGTTGCTCCTTTCATGAAAACGAAATAACTTTCATTTTCTTTCTGCATTCACCGGCCAAAGGCACAATATTATTTTACTTGAGCGCCTGAGAAGACAAACGATTTTTTTGTAAACAATTTTTTTTTTTTTTTGATCCTTTAAATATCCAAGATTAATATCCGAAATTGTCAACGATTTCTTTGTTTGCCTCAAACCATCACTTTTGGTACAGGGTACTCTTAGAAGGGCTTAAGATAGATTCAGCTTTCCAAAACCCTTTTAGTATAGTAGTAGTTGTATATATATATAATTATACCAATTATATATACTATTATATATATTAAGGTTGTGCGTCCGTCTGGTATAATTTTCAATGCTTGACGATGAAAATTATATCATGATAGTAATTCAACACTAAATAAAATAACTGCACCAAATTTGGACCATATTGACCCATTTATAGGAATAGGGATATTCATGAAAATTAATCATTTGCAGAGCAGAAAATCTAAATTTTAATATGTGGTGATGAAAATTGACCCCTAATGGTAATTTCATACTAAAATAAGAATCATGTTAGACAATGTGGTATAGGGGATTGAATGGTCGGCTTTGCCCGATTATAATGTTCTTACTTGTTTTTTAATACGATCGAGCATTTAAAACTATAATCGCTTTTTCCTCGAAACTATGTTTCCAAATCTGGCGATATCATTAACTAACTCCAACTCTCAACCATTTAAACTAAGTAAATCTAATTTTTTATTCAAGTTTATATTCGATTTATGAAAGATTTTTTGGAAATATAAAAAATTTTTTACAGGAACCCAGGTCCTTACTTTTGTTTTTAATTTTTTTTTATGAAAATTTTGAAGGTCGAATGCTAGAAGATACAAGCTAAATTTAAAATCAATCCGTTTAGAATTAGGGTAAGTTAAAGTTATAGCTGCTGTGCCGTCATAATAAATTATACAAGCATGTATAAAAAATGCATTTTCATGCTATGATTAGTTTTTCATCTGTGAATTCGGGAAAATGACTTATACGTTCGTGCATCGTACTCTTTAAAGAAGTGGAAAAAAAAAGCTCTTAACATTCTTCGGAAATAAGATTTAAACATTATTCACTAAGAGGGTAACAAAAAAAAGAAAAACAATTGCGATGATAACCGCAATGTACGCTTGTTAGTAACGGTATTAATAACTTCAAGTGTGATTATATATAAACATGGCTTTGCCATGTCTTGTGGTTGTCTAAAAGACTAACAAAGAGCCAACAATAAATGACTATAATGGAGAGTGTTAGCGAGTTAGTTAATTTCATTTAAAGAATGTCATCTTCGCTTTAAGTGAAAGATGAAAAATGTCTAGTTAAATACTTTAAACGACATATATATATATACATGCACACTTAAACAAACAATAAACAAGCAAGCAAGTAAACAACAATAATAATATATCCATGGATATGTTATTACAGATAAACACATAAAAACTTTTCGATAATAAAAGTGAAACACATTTATGTAAAAATAAAGTAGAAATAAATATAAAATAAATAAGTAAAAAAATTGAATTCGAATGCGGTCGAATTTTTTATACCCGCGGCCTTCCTTTTTAGTAAAATATAGAAGAAAAACAAAAAAAAAACTCAATAGTCCAAAAAGACTGGATAGTTATGGATAACTTTTTCCCATTTTTGCAACGTTCTTGTAAGATCACTCAATAGAATATGTCTGGAAATTTTCATCATTGCATACGGTATAGGTTATGAGTAGTGAGCAAAATCCTACATTTTTTGCTTTCGAAAGCCGAGGGGCCCGATAAACGGATACACAGACAGATAGCGTACGGACGGAGAGGTCCACATCGATTCAGAGTTTCTCAGTTGGTCAAAAGTGTATGTACTTTATGAGGTGAAAGTCTAAAGCTTTCTTCTAATTGTTACAAGCTTCTTAACGAACGAAATACGAATATATCCCCATCCTTCGGGGATGGATATAAAAACGCAATAAAATTTAGTTAAATGAAATCGCATAGGTAAGAAATTTATGCTTGGCTGTGGCTGAATATGGCATAGCCATCAAGTTGAGGTTAAGCTTTTACGGCACAGGTTGACATTTATCTGCTACAAATGTCTGCCCCTATCTGCGGCCCAGCGAACCAAAACAGTTGCCTTAAAAAAGATTAGAAGCAAAGTACAAAACTAAGTTTCCACACTCTTCGTGCAGAATGGGCGTGGCTAATTTTTTCCATTTTAGATGTAGATTACACGTGAAAATATTTATCGTTTATTCATGGTATGTATGAGTAAGGAGCGAAGATCCCAGAAGGCAGAAGCGTTGCCAGTTTACGTTACGTTACATTACACAGGTGTCTTTAGACCGATTTGGCCCATTTTTAATACCAAGGTATCTGCAAGAACGATCAATGCTGCTATCATATATCAATTTTTACAGTCGGGAGAGCGATTGCCGCTGACAGGCACACACACACACACATAGTATACGAGCAGCCATAGAACGAACGTGGAAAGTCTTTATCATTGTAGTTTATAAGTAGTTACGAAGAACGACCGAAACAAGAGGTGTTCTTCGACTCGACTCATTAGCATTACCCAACTGCAAAACATGTCAACGCTTTCGCCTAATTTGAGGATGATATGTTATCTTAAGTTTTGCGACCAAGAGAATGCTTACCACAGACAACCTCTGGTGATTTGTATAAAAAGAAATTAAATTAAAAATTAAATTGAAAAGACATAATAGCCGTAAGACATCGTAATCGTGTGTCTATCCACTAGACTTATTAAATAAATTCATTTTCTTAGGTATTAGTGTTAGTACAAATAATGCAATTTCAAGTACACAATTCATAAATAAAAGATTGGTTTTGCACGCCCACCACATATCAATGTAAACTTTTTATGACGACATTGTCAGCACTCATGCAAAGCTTACGATGAAAAATTGAAATTGATTTGAAATATTTTTCTTTGCCAATGCAAAATGCAAAATAAATCCATTCACGCAACACACAACCACAAATATTTTAAAAATAATGGAAAACCATGATGAAATTTTGTGCAGATTGCTTGCAACATGAAATATGGTGTCAAAAACAGCCATCATCATAACAACTAGCAACTCAAGGCAATAACCCAAAAAAGTTTTAACTTACGAAGGCTCATATATTATTCATACTTCGAGGTAAAAGACAAATAAGTCTTAGTTGAGGTACACTTTTTTGTTGAAAAGCTAAACGCTTTTACTTGAATATTGTAAATTGTCAAGGTATAATTGTAAGCGATATATTAAAAGTAGTTATAGTGAATCTTATTGGAGAGAAGGAGGAACAACTTCTCGAAAACCGGACGTAAGAGAGGCTTAATTAGCCCGCAGATCGTATATACCCTTTCAATTGAGAGAGCTATCAATAAGAGACCACATTGGAAGGGACTGCATCGAAAAAGTGCGATTCACTTCAAAGTATAAGCAAGTGTGCCGCAAGAAGAGCCTAGAGAAGTACCGAAGAGGACGTGCTCTCTGTGAGCACTTAGTTTAACGGATGTCACTCTCCGTTTCGTTAATTACTAATCCATTCTCTTTGAACTCAACAACTTGTACTTTGAATTTTTTCTGGAACCAATATTATTAGAACTTATCGAGCCGGGACTTAAGAAATCAACAGAGATAGCTATTTGCGAAATTAAAAATTTTGGGAAAGTTTTTTAATAAAATTTGATTGTCACTTGAAGTATTGGCCATCGTTGCTCTGTTACCTTTACTTACTACTTTACTTGCTACCTTAGCTTATAATACATTTCCCCCTGATGAACGCATGAAAAGCAGAATATATGGTCTAATTTTAGTAGTGTACGTAGTGCGCTTTCGACATCAATGTTGATCGTTGACCATGATTTTTTATAGTTCAATTCAGGTCATACCTTTCCCATTTTTCATTACAAGTCGCAACACGATGGTAAAACATCTTTTTATATCCACCCTCGAAAGATGGGAGTTATATTCATCTTATCAGAACGTGTGCAAAACCCGGGGAGAGGGTTCAGAGATCTGGAAATTGTATATATTTGTAAAGGGTGATATAAAAGATTTCCGTGTTTTTTTGATCTTCTTTTGTGCTTCACTTCTCTTTTTGTGCTTTAGGCTGCTCTTTCCAAATGATTCCAAGCTATCATGTGGTTGACGTTTGCTGTCTCCGCTATTTCCTCACAGTTTGACAGAATGCGTGGCATCTATGACATCGAAATTTCCGAAACAGAGTCGAGCAAACCACTCCTAGGTACTTTGTTCACTCAAATCATTCTCACCGTACACTTAATAAATGTTTCACCATGTTTTACCTTTTTTTATAGTAAGAAAACATCAAATAGTGTATTTATATATATATTTCTTCAGATATTTCGTTCATTTTAAAATCAATATAACTTTTTACGCGAGCAGAGTATTACAAAATTATGCGTTAGCTTTCAGTCTTTAAGCACATGTTCGTTTGGGACAATCATGTGAGTGTCGCCCGATATATAGACGTCAACGCCAAAGTGCTGCCAAGTGGGAAAAATCTGCGGCGATCTTTTATATCACCCATTACATGTATTTTTCTCTACTTTAAAATGTTGAATCGATCCGTGCATGTCTGTCCGTCCGTTATTAAATGCGTTTGTTACACATTCTCCTGTTCGGAAAAAACAAAGATGTTGCCTTCGTTGGAGGTTCTCCTACGCAGGTTGCTATTGACAATGGTCCAAATCAGTCGAAGGACACGTCTTTAGTGCTAAATAAACCTTCCGGACCTCTCTGCTCGTTGCTCGGCGGCTGTATCGATAAACATTTTCACATTTATTTTTTGCTTGATGCTACAGCATTTGCACAAAAATGGCAGAAAAGGAGCACTGCATGAACAGTTCGACAGTAGGCAGTAGAATTTTACCTATTATGAAAGATTCACACACGCGTGATGATTATTTTTTTTGGCTTAGAACAACTGTGGGCTGTGACAAATGCAAAGCTTTTCTGGCCTCTGGCCTCTGGCCTGTTTTGTATTTGTACTTATTATGTGGGTAATCCACACGGTGGTCAAAAAAATTCGGTTATGCTTGCCCATGTCTCTAATCTTTTAACTGTATAATTCATATGAATCCCGCCAAAAACGCTCGCAAGATGAACAGTCACGCAAAAAGTAGGACGAAACGTTCCAATTTCATTTATTTAATCGCTGAACATATTTCGCTGAATACATTTTGGCCAAATCGTGTATTTCAAGCATTCAAGCACGTCACACATATACGAAGCAATACTGGTCGAGCACGTGTCTTTCTCCCTATTGCATATGAGGCCCTGAAGTGGCACGCATTTTCATATGAAATTTGCAAATAAAAACTTGTACTTCAAGCATCTCCACTTGCTCTGTACTCCACACAAGCCTGCTATAAAGCATGTGAAAAAAGTTCTATTCGTTACCTTAAGGTTCTTATAGCCCAAGTGCTCTCTTAAATTGCTTCATAAATTTACCGTGCAAAGGTTGTGGTGCAAGCTTATGTTAAGTTTGCGCGGATGTAAGTTACACACAGAAGAGATTAACATATAACATTGGCAGAGGTTCTGAGTCGATCTGAACTTGTCTAACCCTCTGCCCGTGTATTCGCGTTATTTCCTTGTGTTCAGCCTGGAGGTCATAATTTTGAGATATTTTGATGAAATTTGATATATTGACGCATTTTGACCCAAAGACGAAAGCTTTGAGTTTCGTTTGCATCGTAGCACTCTTTCGGCTCTTTTCTGCACAACGCCTTATTCCGAAAAGTCGTTATATGAATAACTTTATGGGATATGGCGCACTAAATTGTTTTCGTTTGTCATATCGTTTTAGAATTTTTAGGCTAAAGTCCAAGTAATGTTATCAAAAAAATTGTGCTCGCAATTTCTACTTAAAAAAAAAAGGCGGAAGCGAAACTCGATTGCTAATCTTCAGGTGGAACTCCCAGTTCCAGTCAGCTTAACTCTAGCGATATCGGCGACTATATCCGTTTAAGAAAGTCTCATTGGCGACGGGCTATAAACTTAGAGACCAGTCGCAATTACGATATGAGAAAAGCAATTTGGATTTTCATTTTTTCCCTACGGGGTTTATGCGTAAAATTAATAATATTTGCATTTACATAATGTTAGACGTAAGCTCCTAGGAAAAGAAAATTTCCAAATAATTTTCCTTATGCTATGATATAAAAGAAAATTTTATTGCAAAATAAAAAAAAAAAAAAACAAATATTACCGCATAACCTCTATAACTTTCTCACTTGTTTTATTACAATAATTAATGCCAGTTTTTTCTTGTAACCACAACAACAAATTTACCTTTAATAACCCAATATTAAATTTTTTTAATGGGTGGTCTTTAACGCATTCACTCTCAGTTTACATACCACACCGCCACTGTCGTTGCAGACAAAAAAGCAAAAACAGAAATACAATTAACCATAAAAATATCGAAGATATCATACATGGGTAACAAAAAAAAATAAAAAAAAAAAAAAAAAAAAAAAAAAAATTGCAAAAATCATTGAGCTTACGAGATCAGTGAGGCGTTTATTTACAATTTAAATTGTGCGGTCAAGAAAAGAAAATCCCATGAAACTTAAACTTACAATGGATAAACAAATGTATATATATATATATATATATATATGCGTGTATACATAAAGACGTACGCATTTATAATGTTGACCGTATGTAGCACGTATTGCACACAATATAATGCATGAAAAGCTCAAAAGCGGCCAGAAAGCACACAGTATGCTCGCACAATTGAGACACAATATCATTAAATACATCTTCTTTTACACGAAATGATTTGCGCAGACTTAACAGGCATTGTTCGCATGTGCGCATAAGCGATGGTGGTATGAGCATGTAAACGTATGTTGGATAACCATGGCCAGTTTGTTGTTGTCTGTTGGGTGCGTTGTTATGGGTGGGCTCTTTTGTTATTTTAATTTCGGCAATTTTTGACAATTGTTGCTCAAGTATATGAGCTTTGTTGCTATTTTCTTTTCTTTTTTTTTTTTTTGCTCTGCTTACTTTATACATGAATTTATATTTCTTTGTACTGTTCTCACGCACACAAACACACACACACGCACATATATATATATATATATATATATGTGTGTGTGTGTATATATCCTAAGGGATTTCTTCTTAAGCCAAAAGAATCAGATGAAATGAATTCAATACATGTGGTGCATGTGGGCATATGAATGTGCCTGTGTGTATGCGCGTGTGTTTTTGATTTCCTTTATAACATTTCGGACTTCTTCTTTATTTCCATTTCATTTACATGAAAGTGAAATTTGTTTTTTTTTTTTTTTTTTTTTTTTTTTTTTTTTTTCTTACGCCGGCTTTTTTTCTTTGAGGTTAAAATTTTTGTGATATTTTTTTTTCTCTTTTTTATTTCTCTTAATTTATTGACGATAAGTGCATATGTACATACATGCACTGGGAAAGAGGAAGAAGATATATATACATATAACTGCTAAAATAAACATAACTCGATTTTTTTTTTTTATTCCTTATGATTTGAAAATTTGTTGCAATGTATATATACTTATATATATATACGATTGCAGATATCATGCGAACGTGTTGCGAATGCTTTCTTTTTCTGTATTTGCTTGATTTATGACTTCGGCTGCCAACTGACAGTTGTAATAAATTTTGTAATATGCGAAATTAAAAGCCTCTCAACTGGCAAATCGGTAATTTTAAATGGATAATTAACATTTATTTATGATTTAATTTCAAGCATTATTTGTCAATTTAACGGCACTTATGTCTTCATTATAAATAATTGTTGGATAATCGACTAAACAATCAAACCAGGAGGCGGCAAATACGGAAGATACAAGATGAGAAAATGAAACGAAAAAAAAAAAATGAGAAACAACGGAGAAAAAAGCCAGCTTTCAAACCAATTTATCTTGGGATCTTTATAGAATTGGAGCGGTCGCAATACTTCAGAAACGATGTTGAAATTTGAAAAAAAAAACCCCGTCAATCGTTTATTAAGACGGTGTTGAAAAATAAGTAAAGCCTGGTCTATTATGAGCCCCGCCCTAAATAGGCAAAAGATGAGAAATCGCTAAAAAATCGATATATTTTTCCTAATATTTTTCCTATTAATTTTCTGAAATCTGTATAAATAGTAGAGTAGGTAAGCATTGCGACCCGCAAGTCGATGTTCGCGGGTTCAAATTTCAAATGCGGTGTAGTTTACTTTGGTCATAACTAAAGCAAATGCTCAACTGCGGGCATTTTTTTTCTCTTTCCTCATTTCTTACTGACCATCGCTGTATTCGACGCATAGAAAACCTCGTCATGATTACTCGTGATTAAATAAAAAAAATAAATAAATAACGGTCATGTGAAAATAACGGCCACCATTGCAAGGCTTCTTTCCGATGGAGGTCGGTGGACAGTCGCCGCACTGTATGGTGGATGTGCCAAAGTTTTCTGTTTTTTTTGCCGAACTATCAACTGTGTATATAATCCGTCATGGCGGACGACAGCGTAAATCTTATTTATTAATTCTTCCCGCTCTAGCTAAATTGCGCCCTTTTTTAAAGTCAAAAGTGATGATATCGTAAAACTTTAATATGGAGACGTTCCACTTCGTATAGCAAAACACGTTTAGGAAATATTTGCAGTCCTACACTATATAACCTCGCCCCTTACTCCTTTCGAATAAAACGCGTTTTGAACAAATGACTTATTTTTCGTTTAAACGATCCCTCCAAGCAACCCTCTCTGCAAGCCTCCAAACAAAAGTAACATGTCTTATTGGACAAAACAACAATGAACAAAGTAGTTCTTAAAATTTTTGATTAATACGCCTTCAGCTCCCTTCACACTCATACACCCAATAAAGTATATTAATATATTTAGCACATAATTTGTTTTACTTTATGATCGAAGCCCTATTATATACATGATCACAAGTACGTCATTTATCACAAGGCGATAAATTAAATGATAAAATGTAATCATCATTTGTTAAAGAGTGATTTCTTTTCAATATAAGCTCATAGTGAGGATAAAAAAAAAAATTGTTAATTTTATTTTAATATTTTTATATTTGAATGAATCAGAAATTTATATGGGCAAGATTTGAAATAAGTTGTCCCTACTTCGAAATGTGAAAAACAATAAAATCATCATTCGAACTAATGCTTAGCACTAAAAAGGCAATAAAATGAAAAATCATTAACATAACATTTTATCCAATTTTTCTTCTTTTATTTATTTATTTTTTTTTTTTGTTTATTTACAGATCCCCTGACAGCAATGATTCTCGATCGCAACAAATTGAATTTTATTACGATACAATGGTTGCGACTTTTTTTTGTGGCATTTTTCTTGGTCGACAATACAACGACATGGGCTCACCATGCGACGGCCACACAAAAACAAACTCAACAACAACAGTCGCAACAACTACACCAACAGCAACAACAGCAACATCAGCAAGAAGAAAACAATATATCAATGCAAGATGTAACTGGTAAGAGAATACTATTAACGTACATAACGCATGCTTGCGAGTAAATAAAAACATAAAATTACGAATGACAGTAAGAATCATAAAAAACAAAGCTCCCAGGTCTCATTTATTTTTTTTATTTTTTTTTTTTTAGTACATTTGCTCATAAATAAACAATATATGAAACGGTAATAATTTATTCGTTAGTTATATTTTCGTGAAATCATAATTGATTTATATTAGAATTTCTTTCTTTTGAAAGAAAAGTCGAATTTCGAGAAGACAGTTAACCGCTAACTCTGTTACGTACAAAAATCTAGGACTGAAGCAATTGCCATCTTGGCAGTCCACCAATGAGGGATGAGCGTATATTCATTTTGTTAAAACATTTGCATAACTCGGAAGGATGCTTCAAACATCAGATGGAATATATACATAAGAGCTACCGGAAAGTTCGTTCCCGTTAGAAAAAGTTTCAATAAGTACGCGCATATTTGTTTGATGCATATTTGACGCCCTCTTTTTATGACTGAATGTATATACATACGGACCTAGTAAATGGTTTATGCTGTTTATGCCATTAGTAAGTGGTATGTGATCGTGTAGCCATGGTTAGCGATAAAGTTCACTTACATCAATGTATTTTGTACGAATTCTAAGCAGAAGAAAATTGAAGCTACGTTTTCTAATAGAACATGCAGATGGTTCGAAACATTTCAAATAGATGAGTTCCATCTGTCTGATAAGCCACGGTCTTTGCGATCAGTTTTGATTCACGAAAATGCTGTCGAGATTATATTAGAGCAAAATCGCTTTGATTACGCAAATGAAGAAAATGATATCCGACCAGTGGGAACGAGAAGATTTTTCTGGTAGACTTAATATATCATCAATCAGTATTGTAGACATAAAGCATTTCCGTTTGCGTAATGTCTGTAATAATTTGCTTGCCAGTAACGGAAGAAGACTTGAGATCTTTGCGGGAGTATTTGCCGTTGAATGAATGGAAAAATTAAAAAAAATACACCCCTTGAAGTACATGCGTTCTTGATCAAAAAGAATTTCTCAATCGATTGAAGCCTGTACGTCTGTCCGTCACTCCATCTAAGCCACTTACGCGCTCGCAATAATAAACAAAATTACGTCTTCAAATTTTAAGAAATATTGGAAGCTCTTGCCCGCAAGCTAGGGTTGCATATTTGATCCATATTCAAACTGACAATACTTTCGCTTTCCAGATTTTTTATTCATTTTCCATCAACTGAAAAATCTTCGCGTATATCCGATAAAAATTGGGAAAAAAAGATCCGCATCTGTCCTTCTTCCTACCTCAATGTAACGGGGTATGAGAAGTCAGGTGTTTCGTTTTTTAAGCCTTTTATGAGATAAAGGTAGTGGCCGACTATGGGCGAACATAATTTTATTCATGACAATGTTTTGAAATGCAGGTAACAAATTTTCATAGAGTCTATGCGGCTTGCGTGCGAGAAAGATGTGGGAGCTTGTACGAATGTACAGAACAATCAGATCCACCCCTTCATTTATGTCAATTGATTCACAATCGCTTGCTTAATCAATCTAAGTTTATCTGTCTGTCTGTCCATCTATCCGCCTGATTTTTTGTGTTCAATCTAGAGATCGTACTTTTTGAGACGAAAACTATTGAACTTGGCTAGGATTGGACCATTTTCTTGATCGCCTAATTTGAGAAGTTATTACATAAATGTCTGTATTGACCGAAATCGTCCAGGGTATTTAATAGTGGGCCATATTCCATTATAAATTCTACTCTGAAACTCTACAGCGCTTGGTATTTGAAAGCATAATCATTGAGTTCTTGAGTTCTTGAGCCAAAATCCCTTGTCTACGCGGCCACCCACGTCCCTTAGTAACAATTTCATTTTTTATTCAAAGTTTAATTAACAAATTTGTAGAAAGCAATACCAATTTTACTTCCTCAGTCATCCTACATTTGTATGTCATTGTGCATGTCTCTCTTTGTATATGGCCTTATGGCCGAATTGCGAGCATACAAAGATGATGTGAGAGAGTGTTCTCTGTAGTCTAGCATCGCCATCCGTAATTATTGGCCTAAGTTTTCTGCAGAGCAGTGTCTATTTTCCATCGGAATTTGCAGCATCAGGATGCGGCTAAGTAATGCTATGGAGGATGTTTGCTTACACGTGCTATCCGTGAATTACTTTAGCCAATCAAATGTCGAACTGAGATGAGTGCCACTTTTGCGTGGTATAAAGTTTAACTTGTATGGATTCCCTTTGTGCACTACATGATGGGTTTACTGCCGCGCCATTAATATCTTCAAACACAATGCAATAGAAAATCTTTTCTCATGAAATTTTCCAAAATTTTTCAAATTAAATGCTCCTTACTCTTTACCGATGGAAATAAGAAACAAAAAAAAAAGAAAAGCAGTTTCATTAATCCGTAAGAAAACTTAATTATCTGAATCGAATTGAGAGTGCAAAGTGGAAGTCGTAGACGCGTTTAAGAAGCCCACCCAGCTGATATATCATAGTAATAAACTGTTTAACAGAGTCACATTAAAAATACTGTACATCATATGCCGCTTGAATGCTTTCTTTATTTAGCGATTTTCTACAATATCTGCAAAAAAAAAAAAAAAAAACTTGAGATTTTTTAGCGGCTACTCGCAATTGATTTGGAAATCATTTGCAAGATTGCAAAGACGCAATTTAAATTGCATAAAGATTACACTGTCTCGTATGCTCTGATATATCTACACATATATATATATATATATATGCATACATACATACATACATACATACAGACATATCCATTACTGCACATAACCCGACACTTGACAATTTGAATTAACAAACGGGCAAAAACAAACGACAACGGCAAAGGCAACGGTAACAGCAAAGCAACAGCAACGATATGATGAAGACAAATAAAGCAGCAGTTGTTGCTTGTATTTTATGAGCTTGAATGTGAATTCCAACAACGAGACAAAGCAGGCAATCGTTTCGTCAGTCTCAGTTTCAGTCTCAAGCGCAGCCTCAGTCTCAGACTCAGTCTCAGCTTCGACCAGTCAGTCAGGACGGGCAGTTGAGTTGAAAAGTGATGACCATAAAAATTGCGATTATACTGTCTGCATGAGCCAGTAAAGACTGACCGACCCCGTCAACCAATAATCATATTTGCTGAAATGATGGCAATAATCACGACTTTACAGATGCATACATACCTATATCAATTTAGGTATCTATGTTTGTGAATACATGCATGCGTTTTCGGTACATGAGCATCGGTCTAAATGTTATTTGTAAAATTTTGATCGGAGTCGCATAAAATGTTTAATTTGAGACTAACGAATTTATACACTGCTCGTGTCGATGTGCACGAAGACAAAAAAAAAAAGGAAAAAAACAAATGTATTAACACACAAGCAGACAAGACACACAAGCAATGGTGATGAAGTACATGCATATACCATATAACCATGAGATGTATATTTATATATGCATATATATATATATATATATATATTTATGTTTGAAATATAAAAAACAATCCTTGCATAATTGCAAAAGATAACAAAACCACTTTCGTTTTGTTTAACTGATTTTGGGAAAAAAAACTCATACATATATACAAATATACGAAAAATTGAAAACGCGGTGAGTGGTGAGTGTTTACTTAAGCATTTGTATGTTTATTTTTTTTTTTGACATAAATGATTTTGTCATACGCGAAAACATTTTCTAATAAATCCAAATTTTCAACTTTTTTAGTTTCAAATTACTATGGATGTGTTATGTCAGAAACAAAATGCAGAACTGCACTTAACTTTATTAGAAAAGTTGAATGAGTTCTTACTTCAAACATACATACACATACATCTAGACGTATGCATGAATCACCGCGTAGTGTACACTTATACAAAATCAGGGGCCTTTCCTACATTTAAGGAATGTGAGCATTTGTTATAACTTCTTCCATGGACTAATCAAAAAAAAGGTGCCTTTCAATTACGTCGCCAGCATGCTATCAATCAGTGTAAGATTTTGCGATTCTGTGCCCATCTGTCCGGTTGTCCATTCGTTGCTGAAGCTCTCATAATCACAAACGTCTATTTGGAAAGTAAAATGCGGCCCATACATCATTACAGCAAGTCTGAACATTAACTTTGAAAATGGATGTAATCGGCCATGAAGCATATCTGTAGTTATTCGAAAATAAGCGCAATCTTAAAACACGATTAGGTAAAAGAATTATATTCGCCTGTGGTCGACTTTTTTATACTCACAAATCTCATCTTAATATAAGTATAAAAAATTATTGCCTTGGAAAACAGAAGTGCTCTATGAGTTCATGTTGTACGACACGTCCTTCGAGCAATTTGATAAATTTTTAATACCAATCAGCATGCATTTCCCAAGTTTCAAGCTGATAACTTAATATGTGTCCCCGGGAACAGCTTTACTCTAGGAGAGCAGCTGAAGTTTCGTCCTGGGTGTTGCAAACGTTCCTTCTGTTTAGACCAAGTCCTTTAATAGCTATCATATAGTATTTCGTACATGGCTGCAATGGTATCGGTTAACGCATAATCTCAAGTCATTCTATTCACTTCTAGTCACTCAACGAATCCTTTAAATTTCTTATAAGACTTAAAATTCTCAATCTTTTCGAATTTATGTAAAGGACAAGTGAAAACACTATAATGAGATATGACCAACGCATCTCACATCGTACCGCAGCTATTCATATAACGACTTTACAAAATGAGTTATTATATGGGAAGTGGTCGAAAAGGTGTGCGATTCGAACTATTTTCAATAGAGCTCATCTTTGGATGTTAACAAGCCGGCGTCTCAAATGTCATTAAAACATCTCAAAGCCTGTAGGTTGTAGAAAAGGAAACAAGGCGAACAGAGGGACAGGCAACGTTAGATCAATTCAGAAAGTATTTCTGAATCGATTAATATAGTGACAGATGGGCTTATCTCAAGGCCTTCCCGGTCTTACATACGTCC